TCCTGAATGTCTTCCAAGTTATCCCCTCTCTGTGACAAAGGAAGCAACAGAGGTTGTACAGGAGCGAGTCGGGACGTGTGTGTGAGCGAATCTGACTGTGTTTGTGAAGCTGGCTCACTGTAGGGAAATGTGAAATCACAGACTGAGACAATAACGCGCTGAAGAGGAATCAATATGTATGTCCTGATGGCAGAGCTGTCTGTCTCTCTGCAGCTGACTGTCTCCCTGCAGCTGTCTGTCTGCCTGTCTCTCTGCAGCTGTCTGTCTCTCTGCAGCTGTCTGTCTGCAGCAGTCTGTCTAAATGTCTCTCTGAAACTGTCTGTCTCTCTGCAGCTGACTGTCTCCCTGCAGCTGTCTGTCTGCCTGTCTCCCTGTAGCTGTCTGTCTGCAGCAGTCTGTCTGACTGTCTCTCTGCAGCTGACTGTCTCCCTGCAGCTCTCTGTCTGCCTGTCTCCCTGTAGCTGTCTGTCTGACTGTCTCTCTGCAGCTGACTGTCTCCCTGCAGCTCTCTGTCTGCCTGTCTGCAGCTGTCTGTCCCTCTGCAGCTGTCTGTCGCTCTGCAGCTGTCTGTCTGCCTGTCTCCCTGTAGCTGTCTGTCTGCAGCAGTCTGTCTGACTGTCTCCCTGCAACTGACTGTCTCCCTGCAGCTGTCTTTCTGCCTGTCTCTCTGCAGCTGTCTGTCTGTAGCAGTCTGTCTGCCTGTCTCCCTGCAGCTGTCTCTCTGCAGCTGTCTCCCTGCAGCTGTCTGTCTGTCTGTCTCTCTGCAGCTGACTGTCTCCCTGCAGCTGTCTGTCTGCAGCAGTCTGTCTGACTGTCTCTCTGCAGTTGTCTGTCTGTCTCCCTGCAGCTGTCTGTCTGTCTCTCTGCAGCTGACTGTCTGTCTCTCTTTAGCTGTCTGTCTGTAGCTGACTGTCTGTCGGTCTGTCTCTCTTTAGCTGTCTGTCTCCCTGCAGCTGTCTGTCTGCCTGTCTCCCTGCAGCTGTCTGTCTGTCTCCCTGCAGCTGTCTGTCTGCCTGTCTCCCTGCAGCTGTCTGTCTGCCTGTCTCCCTGCCGCTATCTGTCTGTTGTGAGATCCACTCTGTTGTCTGTGTGATCACTCGAAGCTAATGTTAGCTCCCCAGCTTAAAGCTAATGTTTCCTCTCCTGATTAACTACCAACTACCTTTGAGACTTAAGTTAAATACGTCACCATTCTCTTTGTATTCCAGGTTTTTAAATGTTCATTTTTAAAAACTTGGTCACCGAAACACGAACAGTCTCTGTCAGGATGTGTCGGTAGCAGCTACCCAGCTAGCTAGGCTAACTAAGTTAGCCTACAGTAGCTAGCCAGCTAAGGGCAACAAAAAGAGGAGTGTGCGCGTGACTTACCTGTTGTTGGTGATTCTACGTCACAGGTGAGACACTCCGTCCTGCATGCTCTCCTGTTTCTTCTTGTATCTTAAAAATATGTCATAAAACACACAATAAACTGCCTTTCATCGCTTAAACCAGCAGCGGCAGCCCCATTCCATCAATGGCCGCCATCTCCCTTCAACTCAGACCGGACGGCAAAGCATGCTGGGAGACGTAGTTCTGTGTCGTCACTGCGCCGTGACTCAATCAGTTATTTGTGAGGGGAAAAGATTGAACTTTTCTGATGAGCTGTTTGAAAAGTTGTCATTTATAAAACTATTTAATATTATTTATCTTTAGGGCCCGAAGCACTGACGTGCGTAGGACCCTCTTGGAACCCAAATGATTATTATTTTTATTTTTAATCCTCCTCTTTGCGGCCACTTTTGAGGGCCTGAACGTGCCCGAAAACTCAGCAAACTTTCCACTGTCATCGGTCCGGCTAAAAATTTTATATTTTGGCGTTTTCATGAACAAAGTTTGCAAATTAGCTCGACGGCGCCCCCTTTTGATTTTTACGAATAGGTTTTTTTGCCTATATACATTAATTATTTTTACATATTAGAGCAGGCCGAGACCTACAACAAAGTCAGTGGAAGTAATTGTCTAATTTTAACAGGAAGTCCACTATTATTTTTTGAATGTCTAAAAAGTCTGTATTTTCACCATTTACAGGGTACCTGTTTGAAAGCATCTGCTTGACAGTGTTTATCTGATCAATTTAAGTTTGGTGTCAAATGAAAGTAGACAAGTTGAAGAATAAAAGTTGTGCTCAAATCACAAGGTTTGAAAATAATACAACTCTGGGAGCTGCCACCTGCAGAAGTTCTCCGATGACACAGCCATCGTGGGGTGTGTGTCTAAGGGGAGCGAACAGGAGTACAGGCAGGTCATCATGGACTTTGTCGACTGGAGTGAGCTCAACCACCTTCAGCTCAACGCCAGCAAGACAAAGGAGATGGTGATTGACTTCCACAGGAAGTCACCCCAGACTGCACCGGTGAACATCCAGGGCTTGGACATCAAGAGGGTGGAGACGTACAAATACCTGGGTGTTCACCTCAACAATAAACTCGACTGGTCACACAACACCGACGTCCTGTACCAGAAGGGCCAATGTCGACTACACCTGCTGAGGCGACTGAGGTCCTTTGGAGTGTGTAGGACTCTGTTAAGGACTTTTTATGACACTGTGGTGGCGTCTGCACTTTTCTATGCAGTGGTCTGCTGGGGAGGAGGGAGCACAGAGAGAGACAGGAAGAGACTGAACAGACTGGTCAGGAGGGCCAGTTCTGTCTTGGACTGTCCTCTGGACTCTGTAGAGGAGGTGGGTGAGAGGAGGATGTTAGTGAAGCTGACATCCATCATGGACAACCCCTCTCACCCCCTGCATGACACTGTGGGGGCTCTGAGCAGCTCCTTCAGCAGCAGACTCAGACACCCACCCTGTAAGACAGAGCGCTACCACAGGTCGTTCATCCCATCTGCAGTCAGACAGTTTAATCATACAGTTTAATCAGACTCTTTAACAGCATCACCACCTCATGCTACACACTGTGTGTTTTTTTAACAACAATAACTCTTTCCAGTGTAGTTACTATGTAATTTTCCATTATTGTATTTTTTTATTTAACTGATGTAAATATGTTTGATTTGATTTTTAACTTCTATTTTTATTTTTAATAATTATATTCCCATCCCCTGTTTTCTTGAGCTGTTGTAATGCACAAATTTCCCCCACGGGGGATCAATAAAGTTTATCTTTATCTTTATCTTTTAAGGCGTGGCCGTGGCGTCATGTCAAAGTTTGATGTCGTTTTTCGCATTGCACCAAAAACAGTAAATGCTTATAACTCTATTATGCAGTGTTCAATCATCACCAAAAAAATCATGCATGACAAAGAGCCCACCCTGAACACATCCAGGATTGAATTTCTTTAATTAGTCACAGCGCCACCTGTTGACAACAGGAGGTCACTCCGTCTGAGCACTGTTTCCTTTGCATTAGCCATTACTACACAGTTGCTTGTATCTCCCTCAAAATCACTGTTGACCATCCAAAGACCTTGACCATACGACCTTTACAAGCACAAAGGCCTGTGTGAAAAGCTGTTCCCTTACAGACGCGTTGTTCGCCATCAAACAGGAAGTAACTTTTTCATGGGCTTAACATAGTCGTACAGACCCAAAACTTCATACATATAATCCTGGTACTGAAGTTAAACATGCTACACGGTAGCTCAATTCCCCCTCAGAATTGGTGTGGACCATGCTAACACCTTGGCCATACAAGACTTTTAAGCTCAAACGTCTACGTCCAACACTGTCGCCATACGGACGCGCTGTTGCCATCAAACAGGAAGTACTTTTCATGGGTTTAACATAGTCGTTTAGGCCAAAAACGTCATACATATAATCCTGGTGGTGAAGTCAAACATTTGATACCGTTTAAATGAGTGGGCGTAGCTTAATGATACAGTGGCGCCCCCTACAATATTTCGTTGAACCTACTATTCTGAATTTTACTATGCGTATCCATCTTGACAACACCTACAATAAACCCTCTAGCACCCATGCTCAAAATCCAACAGGAAGTCCACAAATCGCCATAAACAGGAAGTGGCTGTAACTGTCATATACTTTGTCTGATCTGCCTCAAATTTCATATGAATGATCAGGGTTGGCCTTCTGAACACATTGACATAACAATAGTCAACTTCAACCAAAGCGCCCCCTACTGCAAGGACTAAGTACTACCTCCCATATAAAGTGTCACATTTTATTAAAATTTCACTTGAACAATGTCAGTACTGGCCTGATCACATCTAACCTAATACAATTATGCCATTAACATAGCGCCCCCACTGGAAAGAGGTGGTACTGCATCTCAGATACTTTGATCTGATTGAAATTTCACATGTATGATCAGGGTTGGCCACTGAACACATTAACATAACAATAGCACCCCCTACTGCAAAGAGTAAGTACTACATCCTATATACAATACTCAATTTCCTCCACATTTCATAGCTATCATGACAGTGCCAGCCATAACTGCTCTACGTCAAAATGTTATCTGTTCTTCATTAAGTTGCCTATTTCAACATACCATAGTACCACTTTTACCCAAATCGGACTGCACGGCCAGCTCCTTAGCCACGTTCCGCTGCTGCTGCACTCCCGCGGTCGCGACACACCCCGACATGCACAAGAGTGCGAGGGCCCTTCGTCACTGCTTGTGGTTTTAATTTATTATTATTTTCATTTATCTTTAATTTTTTAATCACTATTTTTTTTTAACTTGTTGGACTGTTCAATATTTTCTGTTTGACATTTAAAAAACTAAATTGTTTTATTTATATTTAATTCTTAATCTTTAACATCCAAAGACTCATTTTTGATTACTGTTATTCCTCTTACATGTTTTTGTTTATTATTAATGTAATTATATTTGTAATGCTTAACTATTTAACTTCATTGTTTTATACTTAAATATATTTTATTATTATTTGTGTGCATTTGTCTTCACTGCTTTTTACATGAACAGTGATGTATAAATAATTCTATATTGATATATTTATTACACAATGGCTTAAATAGAAAACTGACTTTATTCTGAAAATATCTTTAATATTCACTTAAAATAAAAACAGTCACACAAAGCGATGCAGAGAAATAAGAAAAACACTTCTGTCAGAAACGTCTTCACAGACTCAAACATTCAGAACATAAAGCAGACGATGACGTCCTCATAGTGTACACTCAGTACCTTTAGACCTAAATAATCTGTCAAACTTAAAGCTGAACACACGCACAGTAATGAAACAATGAGAGCTGCGTTTAAAGGTCAGTTTGTGCGTTTTTTAGCGTCTCATTTATGTGTCTGTGACATCATCAGTGTACCTGAATAATGGCGTTGAAAGATGCTCTCTGAGTCTCTCTAATATAAATCCATATATGTTTGGCACTATAAGATCTACACGTACAGCTCTGAGAGACACAATAAAAACTCAAGCAGATACAATCGTCCGTCAGATTAAAGTCTGAACTTGTCGGCTCCTCCGGCAGTAAAAGGACGTGAACAACAGGAAACAGGAAGTAGATGATCTGGGCTGGCAGGACGGAGCAGATGGAGCGGGATAGATCCTGAGTTCTCTCCAGTCAACAGGCGCCCTTATCTGAACCGCCTTAACCCCCCCTCTCGAACTCCAGACCTACCCTGGGGGGGGGGGGGAGAGGCAGAGGAGCTGGAGGGGGCTCAGAGGAGCAGCTGGACCAGGTGAGGACCTCTTCCTGCATTCAGACCAGCCCTGCGTCCTTGGCCATCTTGTAAAAAGCTCCTCTCTGAGCCGTGAGGACGGCGGGCGAGTCGAACTCTGCCATCTCTCCTTTCTCCAGAACCAGAACCCTGAGGGGTCAGAACCAGATGAAGACTTCCTCGCAGGATAAAAGGTCAAATGATCCATGGTAAATCTGATTATGTGTCATGGTACTAGCTGTGTGTAGTTCACCTGTTGTAGTCCATGATGGTGTTGAGGCGGTGGGCGATGGTCAGCACGGTGCAATCCTCAAACTGGGAGCGGATGGTTGACTGGATCAGGTTGTCTGTCTCCATGTCCACAGCCGCTGTGGCCTCGTCCAGGACCAGGATCTTCGTCTTCCTCAGGAGAGCTCGAGCTAAACACAGCAGCTGCCTCTGCCCAACACTGAAGATACCAGACACACACAGACACACACACACAGTAGAGCGAGAGGGAAAGAGAGAGAGGCAGGTTTAATCATCGAAACCAGCACAAGACACTATCTCTTACATCAGCACAGTCCTTTAAAGGTCCAATCAGTGAAATGATAAAGTGATCTTACTATATGATCAGACATTAAGGAAACATGTTATGTTGAAGTGCTGGCTTCTCTGACAACAATGCAGCAGCCAGTATGTCCTCCTTCTAACTTTAGATTCTGCTCCTGAATGCTCTGGATTTGTTTGGACCAGAGAAGGTAGGTGCTTTTAAGACACCCCCACACGGCCGTTTTGGACGCCCCTTGGTTTGCCAGATATGAGAGCAGTTATCAGGTCAACAGGGCAAGAGAAGTGGTTCAGATAGAAGTGCTTGTACCCGACCTAAAAAGCCTCTGCATGTTTCTAATAAGCTCCACGAGCAGAAACGTGCTCAAACTAGGATCAATATTGGAGATGATTTTGAAAAATGGAGAGAGGTTAGAACACAGAAAGGTTTACAGACTGATGCAGAGCTGGATAAACACTGAAGCTTCAGAGTCCACCACATGGCAACCTGCGTGAGCATCGACTCTCGAGAGGAGGGGGGAGAGACAGCTCTCTACAATGTTTAGAATTTAGACTGCAGTACCCATTTTAAACACTAAGGGGCAGAGTTACATACTGCTCCTTTAACTATTTCCCTGATTGTCAGTACCTGAGGTTCTCTCCTCCCTCGCTGCATTCGTGGTTCAGTTTGTCGGGCAGCCCGGACACAAAGCTCTTCAGGTGAGAGAACTCCAGCGCTCTCCACACCTCCTCGTCAGAGTAACAGTCAAATGGGTCCAGGTTCATCCTCAGGGAGCCTGAAAACAGAACCGGGTCCTGAGGACAGACGGGGGGGGGGCATTAGACACAGCTTTGTTTACTTCTTCTCTTGATTTCTGCCCTGACAGTCTCCACCCCCTTCAGGTGCTGCAGACATGTTTGTGTGATATGTGGGTTTAAAAACACAGACCTGCGGGATGATGGTGATTCTGGACCGGAGCTCATGCAGACCCAGTTTAGAAACATCCACGCCGTCGATGAAGATGTTTCCCTCTGCAGCCTCGATGATCCTGAACAGACCAAGCATCAGAGAAGACTTCCCCGCTCCAGTACGACCCACAATCCCCACCTGATGATGTCACAGCTGGGGTTAGAGGTCATGAGACAAACTGGTCGTCATGGTGATAAACATGTCGGGGGTGTGAGCGGTACCTTCTCTCCTCCCTGGATGTCGATGCTGATGTTGCGGATGGCGGGCTCCAGGTCCGGTCTGTACCTCAGACTGAAGCCTCGGATCTGAATGTGGCCCTCAGTGGGCCAGCCTGCAGGGAGAGAGGATGAGTCCAGCTTCCACTCGGCCTGCAGGATGACATCACAAACACACATCACAGTCCTGTATGTTTAACACACACACCTGGAGCTACAGGTGAACACGTACCTCTTTCTCCGTCTCGCTGTACTCCTTCACTCGCTCCACCGCCACGATGTTGGTCTCCACGTCAGACGACATCCTGACCAGCCAGGTGAGAGAGGCGGTCAGCTGAGAGGCAGAGGAGAGCCAGGTGAGAGAGGTCAGCAGGTGTCAGGTTACCATGATGTCACAGATCTCAGGTGTGTTTACCTGCAGGGCGTACGAGATGGACAGACCCATGATGCCCGGACTCAGACTCTCTCTGGCGATGACGGCAAACAGAGCAGCAGACGACACGATGACGTTTCCTACAAACTCCAGACGGACCGCCAGCCACCTGCACACACACACAGACACACAGAGAGACACACACACACACACAGACACAGAGACACACACACACACACACACACAGAGAGACACACACACACACACACACACACACAGAGAGACACACCACACACAGACCGATGGTTACAGAGATGCTGTGACACATGGCGTGCTCATAAAGAGGGATCGTGTTTAAAGGCTGTCAGAGTTGAGGAACGTCGCGTCCCACCTGTTGGCCACGATGCTGGGGTAGTACGCCTTCTGGTTGTGGTCGACTCGCTGGTCGCTCTCACGTATGAAGCGCTCCTGTTCACCGAACGCCCTGATGACCGAGGTCCCCAGCAGAGTCTCGTTAAAGTGCGTGTAGATTGGCGAGCGACTGACCGACTCCAGACGCTTCAGCTGGCGAGACGACGCCACGTAGAACCTCTGCACACGAGAGAGAGAGAGAGAGAGAGAGAGAGAGAGAGAGAGAGAGAGAGAGAGAGATTGATTGATTTCTAAACAGACCTTTATTTATCAGTCTGCTTACTGTTCAACAATAATATACATTCCTAAAATTCACAAATGACATTCACAAAATAAACAGATTTTACATCAGCACATGTCCATGAACTAACTGATCATGCTCTACAGAGCACAGCACACTGTCATAAGCCCACACTGACTGGAAAGTCTCCAGGTCCTGATTTGCTCTGTAAAAACTGAAGTCCAAAAACAACCTGGATTTTAAATCAACAACAGCTTCACATCAACAACATCGTCTGGCTCCTCCACCTTCCTCCTCCTACTCACGTACACGGCCAACTTAGTCTGACCAAGGACAAAGTTTATCAGCTGACACTTGTGTTTCTGTTGTCGAGTGTATTTAAAACCACAAATAAAAACCTGCTTAGTAAAAAAACTAAAAACCTTCTCCAGAAGATCAAACAGAGGTTTCAGCCGACTGCACTCTAAAAAACAGTGAAACACGGTTCACAGCAATGATTCCATGCAGGATTCTCCACTGGAGGTCTGCATGTCTCTTACACAAGGGGGGTTTGTATAAAGACTCCCAGGAGGGTTTAAACTCAGGAGCTAGCCCCAAATAAGTCCTCCATGGTGTGTCACTGCGTCCGTTCAGTGTCTTTTTATTCACAGTCTTTACAATCAGTTTGTAAAATGTCTTTCCTGCAGCGTTGGCCAGTAGAGGACCAGAACAGTCCTTCAGGTCTGCAGACAGAGTGAACTCAGGAAACGGGTCAGTTTGGTCGGGCAGCAGAGAACCGTCCCCATAGTCCGACATCAGAGACATCTCTTGTCCTGTCAGCTGATGTCTCCAGTGATTCAGCAACTGATCAACGACTCTGGTCGACCTCACCCCGAGACGAGCAGCCAGACCAGCAGGACAGTCCAGCTGAGGTCCGGTCAGCTCCACCACCTGCTACAGAGTGGAAATCCTGGCAGTGCAGAACTTTACGGACAGGCTCGGTCCAGCCCAGTCAGGAAGATTAAAACGTCCTCCAAACAGTACAAGCTCTTTAAGCAGCCAGTACAAAGAGTGGGAGTGTCCCTGTCTGTTCACCAGACTCCACACGTTAAAAACACTTTGATAAAATCCAGTGACAGAGGAAATGTTCACTTTCTTTAAATCCATTAAAAACAGAGACGAGCTCAGCCCCAGTTCTCCAAACCGCTGTAGAAGACAGCAGGCCAGCGGTCTCCAGACCAGGTCTGCAGGCCCAGTGAGCAGTCTCTGGAGGAACTGCAGGCGGAGAGTAGCCCCCCTGCTGGCCAGGTGAACTAATCCATGTCCTCCTTCCTCTTTAGGGAGGAAGAGCACACTCTGAGGAATCCAGTGTAACCTGTCCCAAAAAAAACCAACCAACACTCTTTGAATGTTACACAGGAGAGAGGACGGAGGGTCAATACAGGCCAGACTGTGCCACAGGGCAGAGGAAACAAGATTATTGGCCACAAGTACACAACCTTTAAAAGACATCTTTGGCAACAGCCACCTCCATTTATCAAGACGTCCTTTTACTTTTTCTAACACACCCTCCCAGTTTTTACTAACAAATGTTTCATTCCCCAAAAACGCTCCCAAATATTTAAGACCTCCTGACTTCCAAAAGAGGCCTCCAGGCAGACTGAGCCGACCCCTCAGCTTCTCTCCCACCATCACTGCTTCACTTTTCAGCCAGTCCACTTTGGCAGAAGATATCGACCCAAACAAAGTCACAGTCTCTTTTAAAACATTGATATCTCTCTGCTGTTGACAAACACAATCACATCATCAGCATATGCTGACAATTTAAAACGGACATCTGAGCCAGGAAAACGAACACCAGAGAGACCTGACCTCAGTCTGTGAAGCAGGGGTTCAATGGCTAAGGAATATAACATTCCAGATAAAGAGCAGCCCTGCCTCACCCCCCTCTGTACACTAAAAGGAGCACTCAGGCCTCCGTTGATCTTTAGCACGCTCGCAATGTCACGATACAAAACCTGGATCTTAGCTAAGGAACATGGGTTGAACCCAAAGGCGGTTAGAGTCTGCCATAGATACTGGTGTTCAACCCGATCAAAAGCCTTTTCCTGGTCTAGTGAAATCAGACCAGTGTCTACAGCCAATGAACCAGAGACTTCCAAAACATGCCGAATGAGAGTGATGTTATCACTGATGAGCATGCCGGGCACACAGTAGGTCTGGTCTGTGTGGATGATCGACCCCATCACCTGCCTTATCCTGGATGCCAGGACCTTAGACAGGATTTTGTAGTCTGTACAAAGTAATGAAACTGGTCTCCAGTTCTTTAAATCCTGAAGGTCGCCTTCAGCAGTCAGCAGAGTGATGACTGCTCTCCTGCAGCTCAGAGGCAGAAGACCCCTCTCCAAACTGTCTCTTAAAACCTCCAGGAGATCCTCTCCCAGCACACACCAAAACACTTTATAAAAGTCAACAGGAAGGCCATCAATACCTGGAGCTTTTCCATTGTGCAGACTCATGACAGCAGAGTGGAGTTCAGACAGAGACAGCTTGGCCTCAAGCTCTGTGTTGTCTTCAGTGCTGACTTGAGGAAGACCAGTGTGGAAGGACTCACACATCTCTGGACGATCAACGAACTCGCTCATATACAGATCCTTATAAAAACCAGCTGCATGTTTTTGAGATCGATTGTCCACTGCTGGATCGTACAGAGTGAAAGATCTTCTTCGGTCCCCTTTTCTTCTCCAGACCAAAAAAGAACTGCGACGGAGCATCCATCTGGGTGACATCCAGGAACCGAGACCTGACCAGAGCCCCCTGTGCGCTAACGCCCAGCAGGGGCGCTTAGCACTTCTTAGATTTTAGGGAAGCTAAATGTCCCTGATTTCCTGTGGCATCAACTAAACCCTGTAGTTCTACCACTTCAATCTCTAGATCTCTCAAAGATCTGGTAATGTCCCTGGTGACATTGCGAGTGTACTGCTGACACAATGGTTTAATCTGACTTTTTCCAAAGTCCCACCACTGCTGAATGGTTTTAAAATCAGACTTCAGCTGTCTGTTAGTGACCCAAAAGTACTCCAGTGCAGACTTAAAAGCTTTATCGTGCAGCAGTGTGGTGTTAAAATGCCAATACGCGCTTTGAAGTCTGACATTCTTAATAAAAAACAAAACAATAAACAAGACAGTGATCAGTGAAGCCTACAGGAACAATAAGACACTCTTTAAAAACATTCATGTTGTGTTTAAAACAATAAAAGCGATCCAACCTGGCCAGAGATAAAACATTGTCTTTAGAGTGACTCCATATGTACTGTCTGTGTGTGTGGTGTAAACTCCTCCACACATCCAGCAGCTTGTGTGTTTCTAAAAACTGTCTCAGTCTGTGTGAGGAGGTACTGTGAGGCTCTTGGTGGTTTCTATCTAAACCTGGGTTTGCTGTGCAGTTAAAAAAACTTTTTGTTCTGAGCTGAGGTGTAAGTGACAGGACCTTCTTCTTGTGTGGACATGAGCTCACTGTCACTCTCTGCTCTTACTGCTCCTGCCTTTCTGTCCTTCTTCACTGCTTTAGAACTGCCCTGAATGCTTTCGCTCTTCCTCTTCTGAGAGATCTTTAATGACTCTTCATCAGACATATCCTCATCTTCAACATAATCAACACACACACTATTATTACTTTCCTGACTTACACTGATCAAACTTTTTTCTTCTCACTTAAATCACATTCAGTTATCTCTTTTTCTTTGTCTTCCTGTTTACTGTTCTTTACCTGGCCCTCATCACTGACCACTGACAGCTCTTCCACATCAGACACTTTACTTTTCTGAGGCCCAGCAGCACCTCTGTCTGAGAGAACTCTGCTAGGACCCGCTACAGTGGCCTCAGCTCCGCCGAGCTCCGTGGCGGCAGCATCGACCGGTACCGCGTCTGCAGCCACAGCCGGCCTGGGGGTCACAGCAGCCGCCGTGACCTCAGCTGCCGTTGCTGCCTGAGCATTTCCCCGCACATGAAAAAAAAATTCCGGGCAAGAGCGGCTTAAATGTCCCTCTACACCACACCCAAAACACTTAATGGTCGCTGATGTTGCGAACACCATGTAATTAAAACCATCGACTTTGAAAGTAAAAGAGCGAGAGAGAGAGAGAGAGAGAGAGAGAGAGAGAGAGAGAGAGAGACGTGGTTAACCACGAGATCTAACCACGTGACCTTCTGAAGCAGAAACACCGACCTGCACAAAGAAGTAGAGCAGGCCGAGCACGGGGATGATGATGGCGACCAGCGGCGTGGCGATGAGGATGATGACACACGGACCGACCACGTTGAACATGGAGCCCATGAACATCTTGATGATGCTCGGGATCACCGAGTCGATCGTGTCCATCTCTTTGGCGAAGCGGTTCACCAGGTTCCCGCTCGGCGTGCGCTCAAAGAACGACATGGGCGAGCGCAGGACGTCGTAGAGCATCGACTGATGGAGGCAGCGGGACGCCAGGATGCCCCCGATGGACATGAAGAGGGAGTACCCAAATACGGCCACACCTGAAACAGGACGGGGGGCGGGGTTAGTGGTGAGAAGGCGCTCAGGTGTGTTCATAAAGCCACCTGTGTGGTTTTCTATAGTTTAATGTTGATGTAGATCATAACAGTTAGACTCCCCCCCACCCCCCCCTCCTCCCCCTTCCTCACCCTGGGACAGTCCCAGCGCCCCGTACACTCCCAGTCTCATCCGTCTGTTGGGCTGCGTGCCGTTGACCACGGGGTCGTCCGTCCACAGACTGAGCCAATAGTTAGAGAAGAGAGAGACGAGGTGATGAGCGAGGAAGAGGAGCAGACTGATGAAGGACAGGAGCACACCTATCGCTCTCAGGTACGACCAGAAGACAGACAGCTTCACCTGGAGGAGGAGGAGGAGGAGGAGGAGGAAGAGGAGGAGGAGGAGGAGGAAGAGGAGGAAGATGAGGAGGAGGAGGGGTTTAGGATCAAAAATGTGATGAAGAGTTCTCAACAGATTTTTTCTGATGTACACAGGAAGGAGGAATCTGACCAACAGGTACAACAGTAATCAGCTGTTGATGTTTGAACTCACCCGTCCTGTGCTCGCCTTGTCTGCCTCCGTCAGCTTCCCCACGTCGGGGTTTTTACTCTTTTTGTCCGTCAGCTGATCGACTTTTTCAGTCTGATTGGACGAAATGCTGACAGCCGGACTGCTGCTAGAACACACACACACACACATTGTTGTTGATGTATAAAGTTCATCGTGTGTTTCTATTGGTTGTTCACTCACCCCATCAGAGTTGTCACACTGCCGTTCTCCACACCTTTAGCTTCACTCTTAGGGGCGGAGTCTGCAGGTGAGAAATAAACACGCAACGTAAACATATAATAGATGTGGGTGGAGTCAGGAGCAGAGTGATGAGAGAGGAGGAGTCTCACCGGCGCTGTCGGCGTGTTCTCCAGACGAGTACGTCCTCTGGAACTCGGCAAACGCTCCGTCTCTGTCCATGAGCTGCTGGTAGGATCCCATCTCTGTGATCTGACCCTCCACCAAGACCAGGATCAGGTCTACCTGAGGCAGGTAACTCAGGCCGTGTGTGACCAGCACACGAGTCTAGAAACAGAAACACACACACACACACACACACACACACAAAGTGTGAGTTGATGACACAGAGTAAACTTCTCGATGGCGCTCTGCAGGTGTTACTCACCTTGTCCTTCAGGAGTCCCTGCGGGCCGATCACCTGCTCAAAGATATGTTTTCCTACGTGAGCATCGACGGCGGACAGCGGGTCGTCCAGCAGGTAGACCGTACGGTCACAGTACACGGAGCGGGCCAGACTCACCCTCTGCTTCTGACCGCCCGACAGATTCACCCCCTGAGAGAGAGAGAGAGAGAGAG